TTTTTTCAAAAATATTACCACTATGGTGCGCTGTGGTAAAATAATATTTTAAATCCAATACGTTTTGCTGTATGTACGTTTTTTTTCCTGATTCAAAGGATCCTGTCACTGGATCCTTTGAATTATGGCATTGTTAACATGTAAAAATATGAAAGTTGCTACATGCAAGCTAACACTGCAAGCTACCTGATGACAGACTGGCAACCTCACTAAAATATGTCACTTAAACCAGTAAGCTTTGTCAAATAAGGTGGTTAAATTTGCTTTGGCAGTAGTAGCCTACAGTTTTAGGAGCTGTTGGTAAATAACTTATTCTCATACAATGTCATTTCAGTGTTAGCTTGCTAATAGCATGGACATAGCTGTAGTTGTATTTTGACTCATAAATCAGACAATCCAGTCACATTCATTCATTTACTCATTCATCTTCTAAACAGCTTATCCTAAGTCATGGCGGGTGCTGGAGCCCATCCTAGTGGTCTTTGGGTGGAAGGCAGGAAACACCCTGGACAGGCCATCAGTCCATCGCAGGGCATCCAGTAATATTCAAGGGAAAAATTTACATGGGACAAAACATACCTGCTTTGGAGCATTTTTGTTTTCCCACTTTTCTCTTAAAGAAAACCAGCTTAGGCCTGGAGTTCCTAGCATGGGCATGACACCGACTACAGAATGAAGCACGACTTTATTTCCTGATGTGTGTAATCAAATCTCATGGTAAGGTCCTTATTCGTTCTCAAGTGACTGATTTCATTTTACAACCCCATTCCAAAAAAGTTGGGACTCAAAACAAAATGCAATCATGTAATTAAAAATAGTACAAAGACAACATGTCAGATGTTGAAACTGAGAAATTGTATTGTTTTTTTAAAAATATGTGCCCATTTTGAATTTGATGCCAACAACACATTGCAAAAAATTTGGCAACAAAAGGCTGGTAAAGTTGTGTAATGCTAAAAAGAAAACACCTGGTGGTTAATTGGCAACATGTAACATGATTGGGTATAAAAAGAGCATCCAAGAGGGGCTGTGTCTTTCAGAAGTAAAGATGAGGAGAGGTTCACCACTCAAAAGACTGCATGATCAAATTGTGCAACAATTCAAGAATAACATTTCTCAACATAAAATAGCAAAGAACTTTTACGTTTCATCATCTACGTTACAAAGTAACATTAAAAGATTCAGAGAATCTGGAGAAATCTCTGTATGCAAGGGACAAGGCCAAAAACCAGTATTTGCTGGCTGTGATCTTTGGGCCCTCATACGCCTTTGCATTAAAAAAACAGACATGATTCTGTAGTGAAAATCACTGCATGGGCTCAGGCACACTTCTGAAAAACACTGTCTATGAAAACAGTTCAGCGCTGCATCCACAAATGCAAGTTTAAACGCTAAAACGCAAAGAAGAAACTATATATAAACAGGATCCAGAAATGCTGCCACCTTCTCTGGGCCCGAACTCATTTAAAATGGACCGAGTGGAAGTGGAAAAGTGTCCTGTGGTCCGACAAAACAACATTTAAAATTCTTTTTGGAAATCATGGACGCTATGTCCTTCCGGCTAAAGACCACTCAGATTGTTATCAGCACACAGTTCAGAAACCAGTATTCATGATGGTACAGGGGTGCATTAGTGCACATGGCATGGGTGATGTGCACATCTGTGAAGGCACAATTAATGCTGAATGATATATACAGGTTTTGGCAACATATGCTGCCATTCAGATGACGTCTTTTTCAGGGAAGGCCTTGCTTATGCCAAATGACATTCTGCACGCATTACAACAGCATGGCTCTGTAGTAAAAGAGTCTGGGCACTAACCTGCCTGCCTGTCATCCAGACCTGTCACCACTGATAAAATTCATCATTAAATGAACATTATGGCAAAGGAGACCCTGAACTGTTGAGCAGCTGAAATCCTATATCAAACAAGAATGTGAAAACATTTTACTGTCAAAATTACAGCAGTTCGTCTCCTCAGTTCCCAAACGCTTACAGAGTGTTGTTAAAAGAAGAGGTGATGAAACACAGTCGTAAACATACCCCCGTCCCAACTTTTTTGGAATGTGTTGTTGGCATCAAATTCAAAATGGGCATATATTTTTCAAAAACAATAACATTTCTTAGTTTCAACATTTGATAGGTTGTCTTTGTAGTATTTTCCTGTAGTGAATACAGTAGTATTAAAAATATGGTTTACATGATTTGATTTTTATTTACATTCTGCACAGCATCCCAACTTTTTCGGAAATGGGGTTGTATAAGAATTTTATAAAATTACATGAAAATACTTCATTGCTCCATTATATCAATTCTCCATGTGCTTTTACGCTGAGGTCAGTACGTCTCCCACAGAGTGTCCTTAGTGACTCTAGGGGGGAACCAGTGACATGGAGCACTGGGTCAAGTGACTGTGGCTTCCACATAGGTGTGAAAAGTCGCGTAGCTGGTCCAGGCCATGACCTGTGGAATGCAAGTGAGAGAAGTGAGAAAACGGAAGAAGAGATTGAGAGCAAGAGGACTGGAGGGCAAAATAACTAGTGAGAAAGGAGTGCTAATCCTATACAAAGACACCCATTCATTCACTCCATCAGCCAGTCTGCCTGCCTCCCCTTGCCCTGCATCATCAAAGTAGTGTCTGACTAACGTTTACCTCCACCTGGAGCCTTCCGTCCCATGTTTCAGAATGACCAGGCAAACAAGACGTTACCGTAAACACCTTGTTAGGCTGACCATGGAAAAGGCGCCATTATGTTGATTTTTCCAACCTCGGCTAGTTTAAATTTAAGGTTCTTTGCTTTGGGGTTGTTTGTTGGTGTTATAGACATTACTAAACTGACATGATATTTGTGTAACGATTCTCAATATATTCCACCAGAGAGGAATCCTCAGGGCCTTCAAGGCTTTTAAAACACAAAAAAACATGGAGAGGCCTTTTTCGGTTATTATGCTTTCAAACTGTGGAACTCAACTCCAGCTTCTATTACACAGTCAAGCTCAGAAGCATTTAAAAATGTATCTTTTTAACTCAGCGTTTAATTGGAAATTTACATCTCCTGGTATTTATCTTTTTAATTTGATCTGTGTCATTTCTTTATGATTTTAAATACTCGTAATTTTTTCTATTACTGTTAAGCTTTATAACCTGTCTGTAAAGGACTTCGAGCTGCAACCGGCATGAAAAGTGCTATATAAATAAATAATAACAATAATAATAATAATAATAATAATAAAATATTATTATTATTATTATTATTATTATTGTTATTATACATACATACATACATCATCTAAACCGCTTATCCTTCTGGGTCGCGGTGGGGTGCTGGAGCCTATCCCAGCTGTCATTGGGTGGAAGGCAGGATACACCCTGGACAGGTCGCCAGTCCGTCACAGGGCAGTATTATTATTATTATTATTATTATTATTATTATTATTATTATAGAGAAGCCCTAACACTTTCTGTGAAATAAAAAAAATGAATTTAAACTTGAATTTAAAATAAAGCAATTATTATTTTAATACTTCCATTGTTAAGTTTTGGTTGGAAACAAAAGAGTTAATATTTTACAACACCCAATAGAAAAAAAAAATCTCTGGGGTATCTCAGTAAATACATCCAGACTACCTCTCCTGGTGGACAGGACTTCAGGAGCTGAACTGAAGGCCTAACGTGTCAGATTGACCACTAACATAATTAGGAACTGACAGTGAAACCAGCTAATCATATTTTGATTTCCAATGGATGGGACCAATTATGTAAGAAAAACTGTAAGTCTTGGAAGTCCTGTATGTCACTGACTGCGAGTATGACTGGTAGCCTATGTCAGGACAGTAGCTCTATGTCAAAGCTTACTACTGAAAGACTCCATGTAAAACAGCTACAAGGTAATATAAATGTTAGTCTTTTACAAGCTACAAATAAAACATGGAAAGTCTTTTTATACAAGCTTAATATTTGTGTGTTTAATCTGTAACAGCCAAAAAATGTTAATCAAAATCACCATTAGCTTCGTGTTAACATACTACTGAAATCCTGTATGGGCACTAGCAGAAATTAGCAGCACTGTACAGGTGTGTTTTTTCTAGTTTTGACACTCATAGCCCAAAGTGAAAGGTGAGGTCTAATAGTCATGTTTTGCTACTGCATCCCACACAGGTCAGAAATCACAGAACTACCACAATCAAGTTAAATGTCACAATAATTGATCCTTTTTTTAAATATATGATAAAGTTGTAAGTTACTAGATAAAAAAGTTGCAGTCAAAGCAGCTTTTACATTTCATGGGATTTTTAGATTAATTTCATATTTGCTTGTTCCACAGTCAGCTTACTGTTCTGCACTGCTATTTTGAGATTTTCTTTATTATTGAAAAAGGACAGCACAAATCAATGGCAAACAATAAAATTACTTTTTGTTAAGAAATAACCTCATCTATTGGAAGTGAGCTCAGTTTGGTGTAAGGTATATTTTAACCCTTTATAGTTATTGCTGTCATTACATAGTCATATGCAAACGTTTGAGCACTTAGCAAATAAATAGAACATGTGCACTAAAATTTGCAGAAAAGTACAAAACGTGATTTGACCAGGTCATTTAAACGTTTGCATACAACTGTAATTGTTTGAATGTAATTTTATAATTGCATCATTATTTACATAGATTTACGTTCTGTATCAGGTTTAAATCTGAACTTCTGACTTTTTCTTGTTTGTTTGAATGTCAAAGAATGACAACAGCATGGCAAAAATGTAAAGGATCATTTTTCTTTGTGCAACACAAGACTGACTTCAAGACAATAAAAACATACAAACAAGCACTACTTACGAACACAGATGTGGAAAGAATGGAAAGTTTAGAATCTAGAAGAATTTAGAATTTAGAAGAATTTAGAATTTAGAAGAATTTTTTCTATTAAATTTCTCTGCTTGTTTCAGTGAGGCACAAGGTGCCATGAAGGACGTAGCAGGATTAACTGTGAACTTTGTGCTTCTACAGAAACTATTGCTGAGGTTTCTCCCACGCTACAGAGTGATAACCAGGATACACTGTCTGGAGGGGGTGCGCCCAGTGATGTCACCACTAAAGACCCATTTCAGGACCTGACACAGAGCTCCTTCACTGACTATGAGGACAGTACAGACACACCGACTGTGGAGGAGGAAGGTACAGTCAGACTCCACACGCAGAGAAAGAAGCATACAAATGTGTATTTCTAACCCAAAACTAAGCAAATATGTAGTATTTCTTATGATGAGGTCATTGTCAGATTATTCAAGACATTTTTAGTAATTTGGTGAAGTGAGCTTATTGCATTGGCAGATAACACTGCTTAGATTAAAGGGCCAATTTTATAGAAAATGGAAAATTTCTTGCCTTCTTTAAATAAAGTTTGCTGTAGTACATAAATACTGTTAAAATATACTATTCTCTCCCCAGTCCATAGATATATGTACACTAAGCTGCAAAAACACCATTTTGAATCCAATGTTTTTGTGATGTCACAAAAAACAATGCATTTACATGCATCCACCCGCTGAGTCTACAGCAATTTAACCCCAAGCCTTCACACTGAACTGTTAAGTAGTGTCTTTTGAATGAGGCACAATACAAAGCAGCCAATCAGAGCAGGGAGCATTTATATACATTCGTCTGAAAGGTACAGTAACATGAAAGGAGGGAAAAGGAAGTTAGAAAAAGGTCCTTAATATAAATTATGATTGTTTTGTTACATCAAACCACAAATGACTACTGATTGTGCCTTTAAAGTTCACTTTCAGTTATTTTTAAGTTTTTAGTTTACTGGTTTCAGTACTAAATCGGACCAAGTCAAGTGTTTAATGTACATATATCAAAGGTGAGCACGTGCAAACACTTGTAAGCCAGTTTTCTAGGTGATTCAAATTTGGTCCTTAACTTTGTAGGACTTGCAGTACGCTAACAGAGTATTTAAAGCATTCAGTACAAGTCTTTAAAAAGGAATTTAACTGTGCATTACAGCTAAACGTACTGACTCTGATCTGTTTTCAGTAGTGGTGATATGTACTAGGGCTTGTGATGTGTACAACACAAATATACACATTTAATTTAATACCCAACACCACCAGTGAGCCCACATGTGTTGTCTGATTTTTTATATGTAATGTTGGTAAAATAGTGGTAACTAGCAGAACTATGCCCTGCATGTACCTACACAACCAAAAATATATTTTTAAAATATGGTTTATGATCAAACTTTATCTCAAAACTATCATAAAACAATGTCTGACAACTATTTTGTGTAATACATTTCTGTGAGGGGGCTTTTAGAGGCATTAAATGCTTTGGATGTCTGGTTCCTATCACCACCACTGTCAATTCTGACTTGGTAAGTTTCTCTAGGGGTTATGCGCAATGTGCAATTACACATTTCTACCAGCGAGGTCTCCAAATCATCAAATCTTACATAGTGCTGTCTATCTCTAAAATGGAAACTTTACAGAAGAAGGCAAAAACATGAACTTTTAATGTAAGTTAATGTAAAGATGTTTTATTCCAAGTGTTTTAGGAGAGTTTCTATTGGTTCATTCCTCATGAAATGTTCACACAATATAAAGGACAGTGTACAAATGATGTAGAAAAAAATCGAAATCGACAAAAATGGAGATACACATCGTAGCTTTACTTTGAACAATGATGATTTGTAGATGAGTTTGTGTAGACAGAAGTGTTATCTCTGCCTTTGCAGGTGTCCTCGGACCGGGTGCCATCACAGCCATCGTCATTGCAGTGTTCCTCGGCGCCTCCGTTCTCCTCGCCCTCATCGTCATCACGCTCAGAAAATTCACTGCCTCTTAAGAGTGGGACAACTTCCTGTTTTAGCCCCTCTGTCTCTCATTTCTCTCTTACTATTGTCTCTGTTTCCTCTCTCCAACTTTCCTTTGTCCTCTTTTTCTAGTAGACTTTTGAAGCCATATCTGTGTCCTGGGCCTCGTAGGCAGCCGGTCCCTCATGATTACGGTTGCTGTGGGATTGTGGGTAGGAAACGCTGGTGCTAGTTCAGTGCCAAACAGGTCAAACAGACTGGGCCCATTAATATGTTTGGTGTAAGTGGGCTTATTTAGTTTGTGATGATGTCAGCTGACTCCTCGCTGTAAAGAGAGGGGGGTAAAAAGGCGTAATGCTTCTGGCAGGTTTTTCCAGCGCAAATTCATAGGATTTTAGATGTTTATAGATTTAACTAGACAATATTTTCAAATTTTCTTACAAAGTATAACTAATATTTTCTCATGCGTTTTTTTCTGAATGTTTTTTTTTTGTTTGATGTTATCTGATGTCTTTAGCCAAGATTCTTTTGTATCATTACCTGTTCTGTAGTATTCAGAGGAAAAGAGAAATGACCTTCTTTTTATGTTGTATGTTATGACTTCCTATGTCCATTCTTTCTATAAATGTCATTGTGAAATTATACAGAATCACTCTGGACTGTGAAAGTGAGCTCATGTCTGCTTGTTCATCTGTTCCAGTGCTTAGGTTTGTATATAGTGCTCTGAATCTTCTGACTCCAACATAAATTTGACACAGTGCCATCAACACCTGCAGTCTCAGTGATTTTTGGTAAATAAGGTCTGGAGATGATTCCCAATGTTTGTTTGGCATACTTGCATAATGCATGCTGGGTATTATAGTGAGGGAACAATGATGAATGAAAACACAAAAAAGATATAAAATAGTGAATTGTGTCAAACTGATAAGGCTGAAGGATGCAGTTCTAAATAACAATGGGTGGGGGGGCCTAGCACTGGCCTAGCGCTGGCCAAGTGATGTCCACGTTTTTATACCCAAACGTTTAAGTCAATACTTGACTTTCACTAGTACAAGTCAGATATACAGACAACTGTGATCTTGAAGACCTTTAATTTTTGTGCTTTATTCCATTCTCACACTAATAAAACACATGTCTAGTTTCAAAAGTGTGCAACAGATTTTCTCTGTTGATTTAGTACATTTATGAAGAATCAGTACTGTTATAGTATTTTCACTCACTGGGGTGGCTGATTGTTTAAAGGTTGTACAAAAGATGTATATTAAAGGACAGCTGGACAGTTCACATATACTCTGCGTTGCATTTGATTTGTGTAGTTTTTGAAAGTAAAATTAGAATTCTTATATAGTTTACAGTCAGTGTAGAAATATCAGTCATATCATATTTCATATACCATAAACAAACAAACAGATCTTTGCTAATCATTAGTAGTTATGAATAATAAAACACCTCATACATAAATAAGATATTATATATCATATAATATAGTGAATAAAGAGACTTATGAGAAACGTAAACAGTGCTTAGTTTGGAAATGATATAAGATTTATAATTTAAAAATTTAATAGCGTGCTAGTTTGTAAAAAACTGTTATGTAATCGATTGCGCCGACAAACTTTGTAAATATAGTACACGTTTTAAATATTTCAGTAGACAGTTTTCATAACATTTTGGATATTCTGGATAAAAAGTATCTGTAATACTAAGCAAATGCCGATTATTCGTGTCTCTGAATAAAATAAAACTGGTTGACCAGTTAGCTTTTAGTACAATCTACTGGGCAAAAACGTAACTACATCTGAAAAAGAGCCACATTAAAAATGCTTTCTTACGGCGACATTTATTAAAAATAAACGAAAACAACAACGCATAAAATGGACACAGAAACAGCCTGAATGAAGATCATAAATGTAACACTATATTTTTACGGAATGATCAACAATAATCATGACGTGATGTAAAGAGAGATTTCGTAGACCTTTGCCATTTAACACTTAACGTACATGGCTCGTTGGTCTAGGGGTATGATTCTCGCTTAGGGTGCGAGAGGTCCCGGGTTCAAATCCCGGACGAGCCCTATGTTTTAAAGTTTTAAGATTTGATCATCACTAACCGGTTTATATTGTATAGGTTTTAAGCGGGATGGTAAAATTTAACTGCCATATAACCAAACGGCAACGGGACTGTAATGTGCAATGCATACAATGGGAGTGAATGAATACACTCACACTGGACACACTATGTGGTGCCACTGTCGCATGTTGATACCACACAGCAGGGTTCCCCACTAGGCGTTAAACCGCTGGCCCGCCGCCAACACAACGGCACCTTACTGCCGCCAAAAAGAACACAAACCAGAACCAAACAGCGACCTGCCAAACTCACTCTGAGGACACAGCGGGTGTGAGTTGTGCTTGTACAAAGATCATGGCCAGTTCTAAAAAACGAAAAGTTGAAAAAGAAAAGAGACAATTTATGGAGAATTTTATGCTCTCACACTGTACCCGCCTGCAGTGAGCACCGTTCCCGATCACACCGGGCATTCCACAGTTACAACGATGTCGTGTAGAGTTCAATGATCAAAAGTTTTTAGCTCAAAATGAGTTAAAAAGGATTGACCCCGACGTGATTTGAACACGCAACCTTCTGATCTGGAGTCAGACGCGCTACCGTTGCGCCACGAGGTCTTGAGCCCATTCGCTTTCAAACCTCCATAAATCGTCTGTCTATCCTACGATTCCGGGGTTTCATTCATAGCGCTGCGCCACATATAGCGTTCACTGAACACGCTTTAACGTTTACATTACGCTCGTATTCAGAGTGACTTACAAACGTGCTTTGATGTCAAATTGGAGAATGTATTCTAGCTAAGTTAGCTAGTACAAATAAGTTGAAGTCCAAACTACTGAGAACGACCCCTGAGCTCAGACACTTAGGTTAGGTTAGCTAGTGCTCGCTGAAGTGCTTCACAGCCATATAAACAGATCAGTGCTTTTGTCGTTTGCTTCGAATGGTTTTTGATGCTGGGCGTCGCTGCGAACGTGATCTTTTCACTTAAGACTGACGAAAACCCTGTTTTGTGGTTTAAATAAATGAAATATACATCTGTTCAGAAAATGTTTTGGCACTGATTAGCTGGATGATTTTAGTTCAATTGCAGGTTAAATTACTAATCAGATGACCCATGTAGGCCAGTGCTTCTCAAATCTGCTGGTTCCCGGAGTAACGTTACCTCAGCCCTGCACATGTCAGAGCTTTGCTCCCAATATAAGTGATGCAACTAACGAACTAATTAACTTAACAGGCTTTTCTTGAAGTGAACTAACAGTCAGGTGTATTAGAGCAGACAGACTGAAACACGCCGGGCGGCGGTCCTTCAGGAACAGCGCGGAGAATCACTGATTCATGTTGTTGCGTTTGTCCTACAGTTCCTGATGTAAAAGAAACCCGGTTCCGTAAATCCTCTTAAACAGTACAGTAGAGCACTTCACCATGGCCGGTTAGCTCAGTTGGTTAGAGCGTGGTGCTAATAACGCCAAGGTCGCGGGTTCGATCCCCGTACGGGCCAACAACGTTTTCATGATTTAATCTTTCAAAGCTGTGTATTTGAACAGGCCTAGTTTAAAAACAACCACTGAAACAGCAACGCGTACGGTTTAGTCGTCTATCTAGTGCTATAAATTCAACCTGAATTGAGACTTTTTATCGTGTATACTGGGCCAGTTACACTAAGAGGTAGATGGACTGAAAATTCCTTTCAATCTGGGTCTACAAACTTGCTCATAATCCATAACATCTGGCCCGACATCCAATAGGCATCTTTTCTACTCTCCCCAACTCTTGGATGTCTCTGACTCTATCTAGCTACTCTAAAAACACATGATGAAACACATTTTGCACTTTTTTGCTGCAACAGTAATATTTCAATGTCTGAATGGCTCCAACAACTATAGCCACATCACAAACACCTGTAAGCCATCAGTACAAAAAGAGGCAGCCCTGAGAACAGTCACAACCTTTATTCTTAGTAACATACAGTAATTTTCAAGGCCAATTCCAAATAAATAAAAGTAGGACACATCTGCTATAGCCTCACAAGGCAGTAATTCCACTCACACCAAGGAGATAAGACCCTAAGAATGATCAATACAAAAAGAAACGAGTAAATACATTTAAAGGAGGTATTACATGATTACAATAGAATCTAACAGAATACATTTCTGTCCCCGGAATACAAGAGAAAAAAGATATTTACAGTTTGGATGATAAAAGGAGTGTACATCATGCCAACCAATGTCTGTTGTTTCAGTTCATTCAGATGGCTGTCACTGCATAGAACAGGCAGGCAGTGAAATCTGTTCTTTTTCCTCACAGAGCTGAAATCTGACTGGTCTTTTTCTTTGAAGTGTAAACACTGCTCAGCGTTCAGAATCTGGCTGTGATCTGGAGTGAATTTGCATCACCACAAGCTAGGAACACAGATTCCTTCAGATAACAATATGGAGACAAAAAGTAAATGTGAATCATCTCATCCAACATCGGCCGTCTTGCTCAAAAAAGACCTCATCACATTTATAGGTTTATACACACTACTGAGATGTAAGTATTAACCCTTTGGGTCTCCCAAGCTACATCTGACTAACATAGGTCCAATCAAAACAACCCACAAACAGAGTAGGGCAGGACCTGTAGATGGAAAGGCTGATAATATCGTCTGGTTACCGATGCTGTGGATGTATCGGAACCGGCAAAAACGCCACTGATCCAGCACTTATATTTAGACTTGTTTTACATTGTAAGGAACAGACATTTCTATTGTAAGAAAAATGATTAATTGAAGAAAAAAAAAAACATGTTTATTAACAGAAAAGGCTACTTTGCAAGTTTTTGTGACCTTCTCATGTTTTAATAAATGTAACAATTTCAGTGACAACACTGACCAAAGCACTGTTTAAAAAAAACATTGGAGTCTATTTAATATTTGATCACAAAGTTAAACCATCCGACAAACTTTAGCTTCCTAAAAGTGGCAGAGTGGATTGTTTAGGCTAGGTGTTTTTAGCTCATTAGCTTATTAGCCAAACACTTCCATGTCCCATGCATTGTAAAGACTGCCTGAATGAAAGGTGAGAAGACCAACTGGGGAGTCTTTGCAAAACAAACAATTTAACTATCTGTAATAAGTTAGCTGTGAAAAAGCAGCCAACAATTTCATGACCTCTGCTTTCTTTTGAACCAAAGTTTTCAGACCGGTTTTGGTCTGTGGAAGATTGGACACGATGTGAAATAACAGGGAATGACTGAAGGCAAACTGACGCAAGTAGAGTAGCGCTTCGGAACCCCAAAGTGATGTGGTTAAGGAATCAGCCGACAGAGCAACAGCTGGAAGCATATATACAATGCTAAGCAGAGGTGAATAAGTTTGGTAAAATGTACTGTGACATAGTTTTGAAGTTCATCATTGACGTCTTGTGGGTTTAATGCACTAGCATGACTGGAAAATAGCCAGTGTTAAACTTAAGTGGAGATGTTTACGAGGTCTATCCTACACAAAGTTTAAAACTCATTTTACGCATGCCAATATGCTGAGAAGTGCTATAAATTAACAATTACATACCTTTTGAAAATGGTAAAAGAAAAATTGTACAAGATTTGGAAAAGAGTTATTTGCCGAACCCTATGACTACAGCATTTTTGGTGAATAAACTCTGAATTTTGGTTACTGGAATTTAAATACAGCAAAATTTGTATCAAATATGAAGCATTAACAGTTACCAGGTTTTGAACCATGCAAAGTTATTGCTGAATTCCAACTAAAATGGAGTGACCAATATATTTTAGAATGAGCATTTCTCATAAATAATCCTATGAAATATCAAGACACGTTCCTCTCCAGCTCCAAGAGACAGGTCTCGACATTCACGCTCTTGGGGTCAAAAATGTGCGTTTCTAGGTACATAATTGAATAACAGATACTTATTGCACATTCATTTTATACTTTATCTTTGTTGAGGACTAATTACTAACTACAACTTTGACAAATATCAATATTAAGATAATGCAATATCAAACAAAACAAAACAAAAAATCTACAATGGCGTCCACAAACATCTGGGAGCCAGACCTAAAACCTGGCCTTTCAAAACGTCTCTAAAAGGCATTTTTCTACATTAATCTGCCTCACCTCGCTCCCTTGTAAACATCCATGCAATACATTGGTAGACGTCTTAGGAACTTCTGCTATTGTTATAGAAATAAAGGCTTGACCTTCGCACCGATTTAAAGCAATACACTCTGTGTGTGTGTGTATATATATATATATATATATATATATATATATATATATATATATATATATATATATATATACACATACACACACATATATATATATATATATATATATATATATATATATATATACACACACACACATATATATATATATATATACACATATACATACACACACATATACATATACACATATATATATATAAAATTTCTTTCTGTCTTGTGTAGTATTGCATTATTGTATTATAGTTCCCTGTGCAAAACATTTCAGGTACACAGGTAAGTAAGAGGAGAAGGCTGGCGGAGAGGTGGGGGCAGCTGTAAGAACATACATGCAAGCTTTGCTTCAAGTTAGACTGCTCAGTTTACAATATTAAGATGACAAAACACACACACACACACACACACACACACACACACACACACACACACACACACACACCTTCATGAGGTGGAGTGAATCTTTAGCTTGCAGGTTCACAAGTTAACACTTGTTGCTAGTTTCTCTCCTCTGCAGTAACTCCAACATGTGAACGTCCAAGTCACCTCGGATCCCGTTGACCGACCCATGCTCGGCCCACAGATGTGTTATTTTTTTTTTTTGGCCAAGTTTGACAAACTTTGAAGAACATATGCAAAAATTCATTTAACCTCAATTCTAGCTCACAATTCATCAAGATACATAAATAATTCACGTCAGACCAATCCTAGTTTGTTTCATGAGGTCACAGTGTAAAATGATTCACTGCTGACCTCGGGTCTGTCTCACGAAGCACTTTCGACTTAGACCGGATTCCTGACCAAGCTTCAGCTTCACACAGCCTAACAAACGCAGGTGTTCTTAACTTGCCTTATGACATTGTTTAACAAGTTTTACTGTTAATGCGATAAGGCTATGATTCATCCCTGTACACATGCACATATAGCCAATAGTGTGAAATGTAGAAAGCAACACACTCTTAACGTTAAAAGCAACACTGTCGTCACCATGTTAGTGCTTATTGGCGTTATAAGTGCCTTCTATTCCTAAGATCTGTGTAGCATGATTTGTTGGCTCCACTAAAAGTGATACTGTGTGATGCCACCAAAGTCCCAAAAGGAGAAAAATGACCTGAAAGGGGCCGGAGGAGCCCGTCTCCGTCAGAAGGCTGTCCCTGATAGTCAGAAGCTCAGCCCTGACTAGTCCAACAACTGTTTATAATCTGAAATTCCAAACCTAACCAGCCCTGAAGCAGGTTAGGTGTGCATGGTGATGTAGTCTAGTAAAATGTGATCTATCATGAGATGGAAAATCCAGGGTTACCTTAACTAAGCATTAAGTTATCTGGCTAAACAAGAAATGCTGCTTCGAGAGACAGGCCCCTGGACTGTTGCTGTAGCTAATTAAAATTAGGAAGGTTGGAAACAACAACATAAAATTTGCCACCATGCTAATGTTAGCATGGGTGCACAAAAAAACCTACCGGATCATGAATAAAGCACTCTGAGTTGTGCACTACAGTTTCTAGTCAACATTCTGTACAGTTTTTCCTACCTGTTCTAAATGTACTACGAAAGAACACATTTGAAGGTGGAACACGATTGGTCAATTCCCCAAAGCCAAATGGCAGAGCTTTTGCCAATTCATACAAGCATATTAAGCTATTACACCATCTTAAAAGGACAGTTGACCCGACATGCTATTATGGCTAACAATGAATGGCAGCAACCAGACACAAAAGGCAGCAGTGAGCAATGAATAGAAGGTAGCAGGGCATGAAAGTCAGTTGGCAGTTAGCATAACCACTAAGTCAGGACACAATACCCAGCCATTAGCACAGCTTCTGGGTTTCATGCTATGCTAGTTTCCCCTTACTGTTAGCCATGTTAGCATTTTTGGAGAAAACTGTCCCTTTAGCTGACCTTTGCGCTGTAATGATAGTGGGGAAAGTGGGTCCTGTTCTGGGTTACTGCTTCACTACAGATCATTTAAAACCCTCCATAAATGGGTGCAAGAGCCAAGCACGCAGCACAATATACGAGTAATGCAGTATATTACTATGATAATTATCATCATCATCATCATCATTGTTGTCAAGACCTTATCCCAGAGCAACAGTAAACAGCAATTCTTTGTAACAAACTTTGGGATAAAGGCAAAATAGGAGTGATGAAGGAAAACAAAGTGTAAGAGGCCTTCACATTCAAATCTCTCAAGGCTTGATTTCACAAGACATAAGATATTAATTGAATGGAGACAGTACTGACAAACAAGTCAAGAAAGGAAAAAACAAAACAAAAAACAAACACAAATCCAACAAAAGCAAAACCAAACAGAGTAAAAGATTTCCCTGCGTAGACCCAAGCCTGCAAGTGGAGTCAACCTACCACTTTCCTGACAAAAGTAGCTGGTTCATATATTTAATTTACAATGTCTGAGATCCAAGGTGAAAAGCATAGAATGTGTCTTCCTGAAAGGACCCTCAGGAAAGAGAAGGGTTTGGTGGTGGAGGGGTCTTAGCATATCCACAATCTTTTACGCAAATCTGTGTGTGTTGCATCTCCAAGAAGTCTCTCAACACAGGCCATTCTCCCCCTCAGGTTGAAGGAAGCTGCTGTTATTCTTTTTACTTCTTTTTTTTATTTTTTGGTCAGATCAGATTTGAAACTTCACTGTAACAAAAATTCAAGTGTTCCTGGTTTGATCCTAGCAGGAGAAGGAAGAGTGCAGGTGGGCCACATCTTGTAGGCGTTGTGGTGCGTTAATTCCCAAATCCTCCCCTTCTGCCACTGTTTGCCCTTTTTCTTTACTCACTTGCCCCCATACATCCTCTCAATGTCTTCCTGGTAATGGGTTTTGAGCTCTTTGCGTTTGAGCTTGAAGGCATCCGTCACCAGGCCCGTCTCTGGAGTCCACGGCTCTGCACTGAGGCGAATCTTCTTGGGGATCTCAAAGCGCTCTAGCTTGGCTAGACAGAGAGAGAGAGAACAAGACTGGTATGTGACGTGTGCAAAGACAGAAGCTTCGTCATTTTCTTTAAAACTGAAGTGACTGTGTGTCTGAATGATACACAGTTCATTTGTCTCCTACATAAACTCAGACCTTAAAGGGAATGTTAAGGTACATGTTATTAACAAAGCAAAAAGTGAAAGCAAGTGATAACAGTTAAAGTGTTCTCTCAGACGTCCAGTTTACTTCAAATGAATAAACAACTAGCAGGAGTCAGAAACCACATAAGCAACTGTACTTCATATATATTTTTTTTAACAACACAATGTGGTCTGGCACAATGTGGAGGCGTCTGAGGCAAGGGCGTGAAGATTTTAGGCATGTGGTTTGCACAATGCTAACTGGTATAGTACATTTACTTCCATTAACTGTTAGCTCCATTATCTCTAGTTCAAAACTGAAAAGGCTAACTTTGGACACCAAACATATCTTAGACATAAAGTGTATCTTATTGACTATATTTGAGGCAATGGGGAAATGACAACATTAAATTCTGCCAGACTATTTCTTTAAGAAAGTACACAAATTTCACATTACAGCAATTCACCATTACCTAAGGTATAAAATATTCAGTATTCTATAATATTCTTAGTCCTGCATCTCACAGTCAATCACAAAGCAAGTCAACATAAACATAAGTTTACATAAAAATGCACAAATATTACTTTGTGTATCTTTAAGAACAAAGCTTGATGCCATGTTGTGGATATGGCTGGTTCACTACTGTTCTACACAGTGGTTTGCTATTGTATTGTACCATGACATGCTGATTTTTTTTTGTGTTTGTGTTTTTTCCCCCCCTTTGCACCTAAATGTAACAATGATAGGCTGGGTTATTTATGCTAAGATGATTATGCATATTCTAGTCCAACTGAAATGAGCAGCTAGTTCAAAGGCTTGAACTTTTGTTTTCTTCAGGTATCAGAATACTTTTCAGATTTAAAATTTAGCAAATAGGAAATGCTTTTCAACTGAAAATTACACCATCAAATTATATGGAAAAATCTTTTGTGATCAGTTTTTTTAGGCATACTGCCCAAGCCTAACTAAGACAGAGCTGAAATATATTAATTGATCTCACCAGCAATAGCAGCCTCTGTGATGATGCGAAGCACCTCCTTCTCCATGTCAGGGAGGTTACAGATCTCCTCCCAGGACCCTCGCACCTCTTTCTGTTTAGCCAGTGCCAGTAGCTGCTTCTGATTGGGTACCACAAAGCCGATCACATATGATTCATCGCTAAGAGAGTAGAAAAAGTTGCAGAGAGAGATTGCATGAAGTACAATGAACAGCTTGCAACAGTTTCATTCAGTTATTTTATGAGTACATGCCGTATTTACTCTACACACAAACATCACTGTCTATACTGGTATACTGTGATACTGTTTTTCAGTGTTAGGAATATTTTTAGTAATTTATTTGCTAAATAATAAACAGATCCATGACATAATGCCCACAAAACAGCAGTGTCCTTTTTTATTTTATTCCCCAATTTTCTCCCCAATTTAGTCGTGTCCAATTCAACCCACTAGTTAGGACTCCCCCAGTCACACAATGCTACCAGCACCCAGAGCTAAGAGGGTGAAGGCTAGCACAGTCTTCTTCCGAGTCCTGTAAAGCCAGCTACCGCATCTTTTCGAACTGCCGCTCATGCAACGACAAACGCGCTTGAGGAAAGTGCCAACTGCCAGATCTGTTACGTCAGCTAACAGACGCACTGCGTTGAGTAATGAAGGAGAAGGGGGGCCATCCCACCCACCCAGAGAGCGAGGCCAGTTGTGCTCTCTTGGACTCCCGGCCTCGTATGGCTGCAGCATCACCAGGGATTGAACTTGCGATCTCCCGATGATAGTGTCAACGCTTAGATGGTTGAGTGAAGTTCAGTTTAGTGTAATTTTAAGTTTGCAGCAATATTTATTTATTTTTTTTTCATTTAAATTGGACAAGACAGAACACACTAGTAGTGACACATTTAAAAATACTATCAAAACTTGGAGTACAATGATCTCTATTAAGCATTTCACACACTGCACTAAATCCAATTAATCAGGACAATTTATACTCTCTTTAGTAATGAAACATGCACTTGTTCAGTGTTCCTTACATACCAACAATATCCATGTTATGCTCAGAAAGCCATGTGGCGTATTGTGACTTAATCACATGATAAAAACAAGTCATACTGCCAACCTCATGTTAAATAACAAATTCAGCACTAAAATTTGAAAATCTGACCTTCAGGAACTGAGGAGCACTCTTATCTGCTTTACATTAAGCCTGAAACCAGTGGCACATGGTGTGTGCATGTCTGTGTGTGGGTGGTCACCTGTTGGCGTATGCACATATGTTGTCGATTAGAGGGCAATTTTTCAGTGCAGACTCCACTTTCCCCAGAGACACGTACTCCCCAGCCTGCAGCTTCACCAGGTCCTTCTTACGGTCTACAAACAAATAAACAAACAGAAAGAATTTTAGTGAAGGATGTCCGTCACTCATTGTCCCCCCCACTGGAGCAACATAAGAAACTAACTGCACTTTAACTGTGCCAGTGCTGCATAAGGTCCAAAACCGGTGTCAAACACCAGTATTATGCATCCCCCCGACTGACCATTCTTTCATTTGTAGTCTGTGTGCATGTGTGTGCGTGTGTGTGTGTGTGTGTGTTTGTGTGTCTGAGAAAAAAGCTTTAAGGTGGGCGGGTCGTTCTATCCAAAAAAAAAGGGGTCAGGGATGGTAAAGTGCTTTCGACAAAAGCTACATGTTTCATTTATAAATGGAGAAACCATTTCTTTTTTGTTACTGAGGTTAAGATTAGGGTTATTCATAATAACGTCTTATTCTTTAAAATTTTATTTTTCTTCAGTTACATGTTCAGCCCTATTCAAGCTGAAGGACAAAGGAGGTGTGGTAATTTAATTTGTACGTGATTTGACTGGTCAATTTGTATCAGATAAAGGATCTATGTAATTTTGTGCGGCTAAATGGCATATAGACTAGCATTAAGCTAGTAAAGTGGGTTCATGCAAATGCTGCCCAACAAGACGAACTGACACACTGTGTTGCGAGATGTACTTTTGAAATATTTAATTTTCCTTCTCCTTGTAACCCAGACATCACCATAAATGTTGTGGATTTCATTAGTCTTGTCAAACTTTTAGGATTAAGGAATTGTGTCAAATCAAACTCCATTTTTACTGTTAGCCTTGACCTTCAGGTCACAAAAAAGAGAAAAAAAAATACAGAAAAATAACAACGGTGACACTGTCCACTATTAACCAGTCAGTCAAATGCACCAGACTCTCTTAACGATAAAATAAAGTCTGGCTTGTGAGACCAGCTATGTATATACAGGCACATATGAATAACCTCATGTGCTGGCAAGGTATAAAAAATTTCCTCACCGATGATCTTGAGGCAGCCGTCGGGCTCAAATTCTCCGATGTCCCCAGTGCAGAACCAGCGCTGGCCATTCTTATCGACAAAGAAGTCCTCTCTGTTCTTTACCTCATTTTTATAGTAACCCATGGTAACGTTGGGCCCACCAATCAGAATCTCTCCTCGAGGGTTAGGCTTGTCAGTGCTATAGTATCCGCCTATGGGACAGAAACAGACATTTTAGCCATGTGTAGCCCTAATTAATACTAATTATAATATGAACAAGCGGGTACGTATGCTAAATGAAGCAATCACAGCCTAAACTGTGCCAGCCACATTACTGGAGTTCCTGTTTTCTCCAATTCTTAGCACAATGTTTAGTCTTTGATCAGTACTTACCTTCCTCCCAGTCCTTAAGCATGATCTCAGAGCAGATCAGTGGAGCTCCAACACGGCCCGTACTGTAGTCATAATCTGCACAAAACATATATTTATAAAACTATTTACTTTGCACTGTCAGACTTGCAAATACATTAAAATTAAAGCACACTGTGTCAAAAAGTTCAAGACACCTACTTATTCAACGTTTCTTCTAAAACTAAGGTTAACAGGGAGTTTGTTCCCCTTTGCTGCACTAACGATTTCTACTCTTCTGGCAGGGCTTTACACCAGATGTTGGAACACTGCTGTGAGCATGTGTTTGCATACAATGACAAGAGCATGGCTGGGAGGTATTATTTTTTAATGGGAGAGATGGGTGTCGCATGCAGTTTTTGCACACTGGGCACTAGGGCTGTAGTCAACACAACAGTTGTTGAATCCAAGAGAAGTCTAAGATCAGTTGAGACTAAGTCAAGACTAAGTGAAAAGGTTGCTGTGTCCGAGTCAAGGCTGAGTCCAAATGAAAGCGAGACCGGGTCAAGACACATATCAATCACAAATCAGTACAATTGGAAAAATAAATAAGGGAAGATTTTCTTTCCACAAAGCAAAACCTTATATATTTACTTATTAAAACATTGCAAAATAGCATCATCATTGTTAAACTCAGTAGAATGACATGAGAACACCATGCACGGCACACAGCAGCAAAATAAATAAATAAATAAAGGACAAACATTTTTGGGGGTGGGTGTGAAGTGAGTAATTAACTGTTTGGGATTATTTCTCAAGGCAGATAATCACATATAATGTTTTTCAAAAAGATTTTATATGAAATGGTTTAGAATTACATCAAATAACAGCACCGGAGCCATTGAGCCAAACCAATTTAACCCCTGAGCTGCTTGAGTGTGAGCATGTGCTGGTGACAGTAAAAAGCAAGTGTTTTTGTAAACAAGAGAAAAGAAAAATTTGGGGAGAGCGAGATGATTTAAAAAAATAAAAAATAAATAAAAAAGTGTCTTGAGTTTGAACTTGAGTACTACAGCCCTACTGGGCGCCTCGCATTTTATGCACCCCATGTGCCTTAGGGGCACTAGTGGCTACAAGTCCTTCAAGGATCAAGGATCTTGTTTTTGCTTGCCCATGTCAAAACGACAGCTTGCTAGTAATGCTGACTGACAGTTACAATGCGGTTCTCTTTACTGAGCTGTTGCTGACACGTAGTGCGAGCCTTCCCTTAGTGAGGTCAGATTTTGTACTGGATGATTATCTCTTCTACTACTGAACTACAGCAGAGTATACGTTCCCCGTCTCCCACACTTCTGTGCATGTGTCTTACAGTCGCTGATGGTGCCAGCTCCGCAGGTCTCTGTGAGGCCGTAGCCCTGACCCACAGGGCAGCAGAAACAGATGTTCATGAAGCGCTGAGTAGCTGCAGACAATGGAGCCCCTCCTGACAGCAACACCCGTGTGTTCCCACCTAGCAACATTCGCAGCCTCCTGAACACCAGCCTGCATAAAGACACAACAGGATAACCATGTTTTGGATTAACATGCATATTCAAAACTAAAATGCAGAGCAAAAAACTGCCTCCTGGCTAAATGTGTCATTGTAGTTTGGCTATTTGTTCTGTTTTTCCTTTTTTTATTTCATGTTTCTGTGTTGTGTTTGTCTGGTGACAGTTAGAAGAGCTACTGTGGTAAAAGCCACCAGTGAGGGTAAAAACTGTTTTATCACAGGTTTTAAAAAAGGGTGATGTGATCATACATTCATACCAAATGTACTGCACATAGATTCAATTGATTTAGAAAGGCAGCTGTTGAGCTGTGCTAGTCAAACACAGGTAGATGCCCTGTCTACAAAAAGCTGTCTACAGTACAGTGTACATTTTAGCACACCCTCAAGATACAGCATTAGATTTTAGACACTGAACAAAACAGCATTGGTTTTTAGGTAGAACATGTTTCAGCTCTCGCACAATCAGGGTAAGCTACGTGGCTACAGAGAGCACAGCAGCGGATGGTAAAGTTTGTGATATTCACAGTTCTTTTCTTTGTTACATGTTTGCTGCAAAATTAAAGACGGCATACGATAACCACAACTTTTAATGAACTGCAATTTTATTATGTTCTTTTATTTGAACTATATCACTATACTAGCTCCCACATTTTCATCAAAGTTGAAAAATATGTAAATATGAGTGGAAGAAAACAAAAAAGTTGATGTTTTTAGTATTTGTAGAAGTAGTAGTAACAGTAGTAGTAAAAGTATCTCTGTGAATACATCTGCTAACGCTTCTGGACACATCATCAGTCATGTTCCTGAAAGCGTCATCAGATTTACTTACAGAGATGATAGTAATAAAAATAGAGATACGTTTTCTTCTGGTCATTTTTATAAGGTCCCTAACTTTGAAGCAGACATTGGAGCCATCACTGAGTGCGTTTACATGCACTCAATAATCAGATCATAATCGGATTTCTGCAGTTACCTGATTATTCAAATGGTCATGTAAACAGCATACTCTGATCTAGAAATCCGATTAAGAAATCCAATACAGAGAGCTGGGATTGATCAATAATCGTATTTCTCAGTGCATTTATACTCTTACCCGGATTACTTTCGGATTTCTCAGTCTGAGCATGTGCGAAACAGACGGCAGTACCACAAATAAGCAAGCAGTGTTGATGCGAGATGGCAGCAAAACACTTTTGGAGCGACGATGAAACCAACTACATGCTTGACGAAATGAAGGATTTTCTTCATCTTCTAGATGATGTATGTTCATATTTTCATGTAAAGTGGTGCAATGTTTCTTTCCAAAAGCTGCGGCATCAAGTTTGAGTTACTGTTACATTTACGTCATGCCCTATTCTGTGCGTTCACTGACTGGTTGCAAAGCAGAAATCAGATTACTTCTTGACTCATGTAGACCTGGAGTTTCCCATTATCTGATTACTCAAGTGCATATAAATGTGTTGATTGGATTACTCACAAAATCTGATTCTCTGCAGTTATCGGATTATTAAGTGCATGTAAACTCACTCAGTCAAAATATAAAGCAAAAGGTAACCAACACCTTGACATGTTTGTGTGAGAGAGAGAGACATACCTGTCACACAGTGGAGTGCCATATCCTCTAGAGATCTGCTCTATCTTGTAGTTGTAGGCCAGCACAAAGAGAGTCCTCTGCACACAACTCATCTCATCTACTTTAGTCATCACATTCTTATAGATACGGTCCATGATCTCCTACAGAGAGAGGGTAAGAGAGAGAGAGGGTGAGAGAGAGAGAGGGTGAGAGAGAGAGAGAGAGAGAGAGAGAGAGAGAGAGAGAGAGAGAGAGAGAGAGAGAGAGAGAGAGAGAGAGAGAGTGAGAGAGTGAGAGTGAGAGAAAGAAAATCACACAGAGACAAAGAAAGAAAGAAAAAAGAAAAGAAAGACAAAAAAGACAAGTTAGAGGACAGGAGAGTTAGCAATAAGTTATGCAAAAGAGAGTGGCTGTGTTCACTTTGTGTGTGTGCTCACTTACCGGTACAGCTGCCATCACTGTTGGCTTCAAGACACTGGTGTCTCCTTTACTGCCTTTTTTAATTTTGGTCGACTGCGGGAGAAGGAAAAAAAAACATTCTAATGCAAACAGAGAGGACAGCCCTTGTCTACACTGACCTGTCAGTGAAGGCATTGAGTATTCATTGGTTTGCTAGCTATGTTTGGAGTCTGTTAAAGTTTACACAATTTTCTCATTTCCCAAAATGTCTATCTATAAAAATGGACAGAAGTGTAAACAAATTTCAGACTTCAAGATGGTTGGTACAGTTTTAGATATGTGAGATACACTATATGGCCAAAATTGTATGGACACCTGACTATTACACCTTTAGGAGCTTGGATGACATCCCATTCCAAAACCATAGGCTTTTATATGTAGTTACATATGCAGCTATAGCAGCCTTAATTCTTCTGATTAGGCTTTCCACAAAAGTTTGGAGTGTATCTGTGGGAATTTGTGCTCTTTCAGTCAACAGCGCATTTGTGAGGTCAGACACTGATGTTGGACATCAGCCCCAGATCATTATTTCTTTTCCACCAAATCCTCCATCATGCCAGTAAACACGTTTCCACTGCTCCAGAATCCAGTGGCGGCGTGCTTTACATCACTCCAGCTAGCAGTTGACATTGTGCGTAATTAGCTCTAGAAAGGCAAGCTTGTAAACTCATTTCATAAAGCTCCCTACACACAGTTCTTTTTGCTTCAAGAGGAAGTTTGGAACAAGTAGGTGATGAAACAGAGGATATGATGTTTAAGCAGTCAGAGGCTCTGCTCTGTGAGTTTGCGTGGTCTACTGCTTAATGGCTGAGCTGTTGTTGCTCCTAGACATTTTCATTTTGCAATAAACGCACTTACATTTGACTGGGGCAGATGTAGTAAGGCAAAAATTTCTTAACTGTTGGTAAAGCTGGCATTCTATGACAGTGCCATGTTTAAAGTCACACTGAGCTCTTCAGTACAACCCATTCTGCTACCAATATTTGTCTATGGAGATTATGGCCATGTGCTGTTAACAATGGGTGTGGCTGAAATATCTGAACTCAATCAATATGTACTTTCGTATTTCGTACTTACTGTCATATAGGGTACTTTTGACAACTTTTCTAGATGACAGTATATCATACTGTGTCTGAAACCACATGAGCAAGTCTATTTGAGATTTCTTAACAACTCAAAGGCAGGTACGTTTACCTGGTCGGCGAGTGTCTGCGGTGAGGAGTATCCAATGCGGCAGCCGTGAGAAACACACACCAGTTCAGCACTGAGCTCCAGCACGTGGGCTAGTGGCAGGTAGCCAATATAGGTGTCCTCCTCACTGTCCGAGTAGAAATGTAAAACAGACATTCAACACTGTCATCGTCAACATTCTTAACTAATACAAAGTCAGGTAGAATCCATTTGCTGAGGATTATATTGTATTTAAAAGAGAGGGCCAGGTGTTCGTGTTCACTTATCCAAAGATCACTTTTCACATTAGGGTTGTACGATATGGACAAAACACTAGGGATGCATTCATACTGTTTCATATTGTGGTTGTAGTATCCAGACACGCTTTCTAATTAGTGAGTTCAACAACTTTAAGGTGCACCCTTTGCTGACACAGGTGTTTATCTAAGTGCTCACAGTGAAAATAAAATTTGAATATTTCAACTGATTTCAGTGAAAAAAAAAAAAATGCACATATGAATGTAGAAATGTCTTTTTGAATAATTAAAGCTATCTCTCTAGTGGCTCCTTGAATGTTACAGGTCAGTTAATTACACCCCAGCTACCAAACTCACATAAGTCGTGCATTTATTTTGGAATGATTGCAAACGTCTGACAGCTTTTTAGCAACTCTAAACGAAGGATCAGTCTACTTTTAACAATAACAGGCAGAAATATGTTTTGTGCTTCTCTCTGCAGTCTGATTCTGCCATGCTGATAACAAATGCTCCAAATGCTACTCGGTAGAAAAGTAAGCTAATAATTTTGTAGTACAGTAAGCTGCTGGTTTAGCTCTTTGACTAAGTGGTGCTACTGCAGCCACCCACACTAGATATTGATGCTTGGATGCTTTCATTCATGCAGTCACTGATATCACATCCGTTCAATGGCCTGGAATGTAAATGCAATGTCACTAAACTAGAGGATTTAATGGAACAGTCAGTCATTCTCGAAAATATACAAAAATATGGCAATGAATGTCTCAGATCCATTGGTTTATAACAGCATTAGCTTTTGGGAATGCTTGATATTTGAGTGCCCACTTAAGATTTTGGTCTTAGAAAAATGGGATTTACTGCTGTTACGTTATTAACTTGAACAATAATGTATTCAAAATTTAAATATCTGGCGAAGAAACTAGAGAAAGCTCTGAGCATAGTTGCCAGCCTCATCATGCCCAATGACAAGAAGGACAAGCTCCCTAATAACAGCTTTGATTTCAGAAGAAATGTTGATGAGCAGGTGTCTACAAGCTTTTGGACACATCAATTGTAGAGATAAGAGTTTGACACACACTTGCCGAGAGATGGTGAGACCAACAGATACAAAGAAATAGACAGAAGAGAGGGAGTAAGTGAACAGACTGACAGTAAGCCAAAGTATGGCTTGTGAAAAAGAGGGACAGAGAAACTTAGAGAGACAGAGGAACAAATGCATTCTTACGTCAGGCCTGGGATGCGTTCAGCCATGCCAGTTACTCCAGCAATGATGTTCCTATGGGAGATCATGACTCCTTTGGGGATGCCCGTGGAGCCACTGGTATACATGATCACAGCGATGTCGGAGGGGAGGGGGTGCCTTCGTTGCACTGCCACTAGAGAAGAAATGATGGAGTCAAGATGGATGAAGACCGAAATGTATGAGAATGCAACAGCTCAGTATGACAAATACATGCACACATGAACGTTTCTCAATTTCTACTAAAACGTTTGAAGCATCTTTCTTTTATCTCATATTGAGAAGAATGGATGAGAAATTAGGGGGTCAAGTTTAAAGTCTTACTGTTCTCAGGCTTGGCTCCCAACTCCTGCAAAGAGGCCATGCTGTGGACCAGAATGCCTCTGGGTAATCCAGGCCAACTGGTGGGCTTGTTGTCCACTATGATGATGTGTTGCAGTCTAGGCACATCTAGCAGAATCTCCTGAAGAGGGAGAGGGAGGGGAGTGAATGTGAGCAAACCTAGTATTTCTAATTACATTAACCAATTCAAATCTTTTATCTTTAAAATATATTACAGCAAGCAAACAACATACAAAACAATCATTATACCATCATTCATGCTGCCCTTAAGGCCTTACATTAGCAAGCCAGACATGATTTCATACATATAGTTCTAGTTTTTAGTTCTAATATATATCATGCAGAGCAGGATTATACTTCTATATTTATACATAAATGCTACTTTGCATTTCAGGGTTTTAAACTGGCATTTTCACAAGTTCATATTTGAAACTACTGTCTCAGAAACATTAACCTTATGGCACAGTGTTCACAGTTCAGCATGAAGGAGAACACAATGCTCCTTGCAGATTGTTGCTGTAGTGGAGCTCAAAAGATTTGAACTGCTTCCTACACTGTGCTTTTCTGTCAAATCACCACTTATTCTGCATAAAAATAAATTACAACCTGTACACCCGGTGTGCCCATTACTGAGTCTGCCCAGTACAAGGACAGGATCTTTCTAGGTTGCAAAAAAAAGCATCCGCTGAACACTCAGGTCTTATGTTCTTATCTCCCTCTGATTTCATTAACATTCTTTTATGCCTCAGGCTTAAAGAGCCCTTTGAATTTGTTCTTTCGATTATGTTTCCAGATCAGAGTCAATATCAGCATCAACCATCTTGGAATAAGAATACTGATCCAAGACAACCAATCAACTGATTAATATACTTTTGAATGAATCTCCCACTATGTTTCCAATGTTCCAATCAAAGCCCTTCATGTGGTCAGGTGAATACCTTGAGGCGACTCTGCAGCAGGTCTTTACTGGTAATGATGTGAGTGACCTCTGTCTCATTGAGGCCATGAGCAATAGCTGGCCCTCCCAGAGTAGAGTATAGAGTCACCACTGCGGAGAGAGAGAACAGGGAAAAAAGCAAATAGACAGGCAGTGAGGAACGAGACAGACAAAGAAATTGATACAGTGCAAAAGACCGACACTGGATACATCTGTACTTCCGAGCAGTGCTACTTTTAGCACTTGTTTTTGATCTTAGTCTTTGGACTGAAATACATAGTAGTTTATTTACATTTTAGTCAGAGCACATTCAATCATTTTAGTCAAAACAAAAATGACTTACATTAAATAGATATTAATTACAAACTTATCATACATGTTTTTGATTATAGTAGGTTAAAAAAAAATACCTTCAGACACCCCAAATAACATTAATATGTCGTTGTAAAGCCATTGCTGGCAATTATAGCTTTGAGACACTTACAGTAAGAAATGAGTAACTTTTTGAAGCTTTATGGTACAATTTCTGGCTTGTTCTTCTCTTCAATTCCAAAAGGTTATGAGGGTCCCTCTGATGCACTCGCAATCTCAAAATCCTACATAAGATGGCTAGGCCATATAAACACCTTCACCACCTTATTTATTAACCACTCGAGCTATTTTGGCTGTATGTTTGGGGTCGCTGTCTTGTTAAAACATCCATCTTCCTAGCCTCAGTGTCTTGAACAATGAAATAAAATTCTCTTCTAACATCAACATTGCGCTATTCATGTTTCCTTCGATGACATGTAATGCCCTAGTACTGTTTGCAGAGTAGTCCCATATCATACATCCCATCTGCGTACTACACTGTGGGTATGGTGTTCTTGGGGTCACATATGTAACCCTCTTTCTCTAAACATGACAAGCTGAATTACTGCTGAAGTGTTACATCTTTGTTTTGTTTGACAAGAGTACATTTGATCAAAACCAAAACAGTTCTGATTTGTACAGATTCAAGATTTATATCTCATTATTTTTTGTTTCAAGTTTTGCACGCAATGTAGGAATGGAGATGATTGCTGTGCAGTCCATTGCTTATTGCTCTTGGTGTAACTGTTGTTGCTGCTGCTTTCAAGTAGTCCCACAAATCTTCAAGTGACTACTGGCTTCTCTCTTAACTTAAGAGCTCTCTTAAGCGCATGTTATAAAATCTTGCCTGGCACAACTGTCTGAGGAAGATTAGCTATGGTTCTGCCAACTTTACACTTACATATTATTGAACCAATTGCACTGACAGGGATGTTTAAAGTCTTTCCTAGGGCTCTAGCACCTTCCAAGTGTTGTTAAGTGATGCTGATCCAGAGAACTTTAGGCAGCCCCTTCTCTTCACCATGATTGCCTGTTGCTGTGTGAAATCTTATCAACCAATGGCAACGTCTTTTATTACGACACCAGGTACAATATGCACAAGAACCTTTTTTTGCAGCTTTAATATCTAGAACTTAATTTATTTTTGTGTAACTTTGACATACATATATATTTATTTTAATGTAGTGTCTGAATACTTTTTTCTCCCTATCAATTGAGCTCTTTTAAATACATTTGGCTTTATGCACATTAACAGATGAACCGATGCGTCAAGCGAAACTCAAAGTGGCCAGTGAGCGGAAGTACAAGGTAGGCATATCTAATAATCTGCCACTCAAAATAAAAATATGTAAATCTGTATGCAATTTGCCTAGATTCTGCTATACAGATAGAGTCAAGGACAGCCCTAGAGTCCAACTTTCAGGCTGAGCTTGCATTAGAATAGAGCGTTGAAAGACAATATGGAAAGTGTTATTGACCTGACATTCTCCCATCTTTTCATTAATTCAGCAAAAAACACACAACCAAGATACTGTATTGATCTACCAAGCAGACTAAGAATAGACTGAGCGCATATAAATGAGTGTATGCGTGTAATTCGAGCACTCACCAGGGAAGTTGTACATGAAGCAGGCCTGTGCTGCTATAATCCACTCTGCCCGAGTCTCACAGAAAATGGCTATGTTACACAGCGGCTTCTGACCCAGAGCAGCCAGCCCGCTGCCGAACCTCTGGGCCAACTTGAACACTTCCTCATATGACAACCAATTATAGTCACCAAGTATTACCTACAGAGAGAGAGTACAGATTACAGTATTGAGTATACGGCATACAACATTTTTACAGCACTATGTTATACATTAAACTGCTGAATTATTCTTCAACTAATAAGTCTTAACATTTATAGTAATTACTGATTAATAAATCATTTTGTAAATACCATGAAGCCAATACGCAAGTTATGCAGTTATGGATGTAAGGAATTGAAGTGTGGGCCCACAAATGAGCCCTTACAGGTTAAGGGGTTAATTCCTGGCACACTGGCTACAAATTCAGTAATCCAGTATTAGTAATGGTAATAATAAATACGTTTTCTTCCCCCTTTTGTCACGTCACCAAAAACATACATTATTTAGAGTACTGTTTCATAGTTTCCCTAGACTAGACCAGCATTCTGGCTACGTCCTGCCAATATTCATATAAACAATAAGTGTCACTATTTGAAGCAATTAATTTGCATTTGTCTTGCATGTCTCGTCATTCTGCTACATTCCTCTTTGATAGAAATGTATCTGCCTGGCTACACACTTGCCAAGCTTCATGAACCAAATCCTTTATGTTTGCTATAGATCTTTCTCACTCCCTCTCTTTTCATCCTTATGTGCCTTTTGCTCTCCTGCCCGTTTATCTGCCCTCCCTTTCCCTGGGCGGTGCTACATCCATAATGCTGGCTGTGTGCTGCATGTGGGGCAAAGAAGAGAGCAAAGAAAAGAAACCAGAGAAAATATGCTTTCCTCATGCATTGTGTATTTGTATACCTGTGTACTCATTTAGTCATGTGTGTTGTCTGAGTCTTAGAGGCACCTGGCCAAAATGAGAACCATCACTATTACCACATCGGTTGTAAACATGCTACTTGCTACCAGCGCCAAAAGTGTGTCTAGAATGAGATTTTTCTGGATTAAATACTACAAAAACCCTCCCTTCTGATGATGTGTCTTTAAGGTGGGAGGAACTTTTAAACTACAAGCCCTTTGAGGATGACACCTGAGGGCATGCTGTCATGAATTCTGTCAAACTGATGAAGCTGAGGCCTGCAATGCTGCGCTACTGAGTATTGCATAATGTGACAACATATTAAACGCTAGTTTTTAAGCCAGAATGCCCAATTAACACATGGCTGTGCTCATAAAAGCACAGAATGCCTTGGATGTAGTAGTGAGTTCTTGTTCTTGTTCACAAACTTGTTCAATCAGAGAAAAGGTAAGGGATATTTCTTTTGTTCACACTTTACTTTTGGCATTAGTTATCCAGCTAAACAGGCCTGCTTTATAAAATACCTCCGTGGAGAGATAGTGTGTTTGTTTGTTTATACGTGATGCAACCTTCATTCTTTGTATGCACTAGAATGTGACCAGGAAATAAGTAAATCCGAAGCCACCAATAAGTATACCAATACCAATAAGTATGTCATTGGTATACAGTATCATTTCTCCAGTGTACCTCTAAGTTTCACAGCAATGCAACTTCCTGTTTTGACAGGGTTTCCAGTCAATCCCAGAGGGGAATGGAAAACAAAAAATAAATCCCATATGGTATCTAAAACAAATAAATAAATAAATAAAAAATTCACACACACACACACACACACCACACACACACACACACACACAACTCTCACTCTTAGTACTAGCTTCATGCATACACACTGTATTAGTGAGAGTTTCTGGTCGCTCACCTTCTTGAAGACCTTGCCATTGGGTTGTACTTCATCCTCTTCACTAAGCAACTCCCTGGTGCCAAGGCAGTCTCTTTGAGGGAAATGTCTGACCGCATATTCAAGCACTTTATCTAGTGTGTCTATCCCCTCATGAAGCTGGGAGACCAGCTTCTTCTGGCTGTTTACTGCACGGTATGGTCCCGCTGGATCACCAGTCACCTAGCAGGGTAAAGACAGGATTTAATGTGATAAAGAAAGATATAGAGCTTTGGAAATCACTACTGGTTTGAGAATCTAGCACTTCAAAAGCTTTGAGTGGTTTTAACAGCTCTAAGACATCAAATATTAAGACAGTTGAGACTAATACCCCTAAGACATGCTAAAAATATTCTAGCAAGAACACCATGACAACCACTTCGTTTGGAGTATAAAAATCCAGGACAGCTCGGCTCTGAAGCACACTGACTACTTAGTAATCTTCAAGGTCCTTTATAATTATAAAGTACAACTATCCAGCACATAAAAGGTTTGGGGACACCTTACCTTCTATTGAAGTTTTCTGAGTAATGTTTGATTGATTTTTTTATTATTACGTTTTATTTGGGAAAGAAAAAAAATACTTTGGATATATTTTTGCAACACTGAGTTTCACATTCACAGTATGGGTCCCAACTAACTAATAAAACAGTCAGAAGTAAAAGTCACATTTTCAGGTATGGCAATACTCACAGAGCGTGCTTTGATGCATTTAGCGCGGGACTGCTTGGCCCCAGTTCCGGACAGTAGGTACCAAGGTATGAAGGTGATAACCGAATAGACCCAAACCACAGAACGAAAGACCTGCAAAAGGATAGGAGGCACATCCTCCTTCAGCTTCATTCTGACAGTGGAAGACAGACAGAACAAGACACTACAGAAGAGTCCAACTCGCTCTCTCTGAGTGGAGTGCAGCTGTTTTTCTTTTGAGGGTGGCTGGATCTCTGGTTCTTCAGTCTGTTATGGTGTCTCCTCCTCTTCTCTACTCCTTTCCCCTCCCACCCTCTGTCTGCAGCTGAATACAGGCCTCTCTTGATTTTATTTTCTCCTCGGTCCTCGTCCTGGACACTACCCTTTCGATTCTGGAGCTCTTTGAGTGCCGTTATCCTTCCTTCCCGCTCTCTGATTGCTGTGCCAGCCGCCAATGCAACTTCCCGTCTCCTCTTCCCTTTCCCACTGTGCTACTACCTGCTTTGATGACACAGGAAATCTTCTGGCAACCAAGAATCAGTGTTCCTGTAGAAAGAGAACAAGGCAGTCAGTAAAGTTAGCTTCATGAAGCATCCTCACTCTCATAGACATCTAAATGAATATGTCTGACAGTCCACAAAAACAAGTCACATCCCCATCACTTTGGAATAAACAACAAAAGGGGGAAAGTAACATGTACATCATGTATCTTCTGAAATCGAGGATATCAAAGCGGGGGTCTTTGCTGTAGCAACAGTGTTCTGAGAAGGCATCAAGCTAGATGATGGACCATTGCTGTAAGTAACTGATTGTATTCAGCCACAACAGCATTAGGTCAGATGATAAGTTCTAGATCACAAACAGTAATCCAACTCATCCCAAAGGTACTGGATGGTGCTGCATCACTCCAGTTACTGCTATTCCACTGTTAAACAGCTCAATACTGGGGGGCTTTATACAACTCTAGCAAGCGCTTGGCTTTGGGAATGGTGAACTCAGGCTCACGTACAGATGCTCCCATGTGTCCTATTGTATTGCCAATGCTTTTCATTGGAGATTATACAAGCTGTGTGTGCTCAACTGAACACCCATGTTAGCAATGGGTACATCTTAATTAGCAGCCTAACTATGGAAAGGGTGAATTTAGATAGAGAATTAAAGCATTTATCCAGCGTTAAAGCGTTTATCCAGGTTAACTTAACAACTGTATCCCATTAATGCTCACCTATGCTACACAATATGTACAAGATACAATATTGCAATTACACCGCTACATATTGCAACCAGAATGATTTGCAATATATTGACCTATATTGAGCACAGATTTAAAAACATATCAATTTCTTTTTAATGCAGGCAATATTAACAAATGATACATTGCGTAGCCATAAATAAATAGCACAAGCAATGTGTTGGGATAAAACAAACAAAACAAATCCAATGCTAACACATACTGGATGTGAATTTGGAGATACCACAACTTATCTACTGCTAAACGGGGGGAGGCAGAAGAGTGGTAAATCATTTTGCACACAGATGTCAGCTTCTTTTAAACCCAGGCAAGAATGGTGGAATTAGGCCATATAGTTCAATGCAGAATGGTAGAATTAGGCTATACAAGTCAGAGCAGACTGGCAGAATTCTCCATACAGCTCAGTGTGTGTGCGAACAAGGCAGCGTTTGTTTTGCTTGGAAGATGTTCACTCCTAAAACAGACTCCTCTGTCAACATGACTCTGCAAGGTCAGAGAGTGTGTGTGTGTGTGTGTGTGTGTGTGTGTGTGTGTGTGTGTGTGTGTGTGTGTGAATTGAGGATCAACATGAAGGTCTAAACACTGGTCGAAATGTCATTTGTGCAAATGAAACACTGCAAGACTGAATAAAGTAATGCAGATTACCTAAAATGAAAAATACTAAAATGCATAAAACAGATTTATGTTTACACAACTACTAGAATTGCTAAATGTGCTCTGGTGGTCACTGCTACATGCACATCACTATAAACCACTAGGTCCAAGGAAAACTGAAGCTCAATAGCAGTGTTTAAAAACAAAGCTCCAACCATGACACAAACATATTTGATGTCTTGTGGTCATCTTGACCATAACCTGATAAATAAATAAATAAATAAATGCATGAATGAATGAATGAATGAATGAATAAGAGTTTCAGCAAGTAAAACACATGGAGTGTGTGAAAAGCAAATTTTATATATGGGAATATTTATATTTTGTTTTGCTTTTCCGTGGCAACATAGCTTATTGAAAGATGCTTTACAAAAGAACCAAAATAACGACGTTTCTGCAGCACAATGCTAGCAATACATTCCTGTGCCTTATAGTCCAGCCACGAACGGCAACCAGAAGTAGCATCCATGTGCACATGATATGCAGTTTTAAGCTTTGAGTCTTTTTTACCACTCCCTGTGTACGGCCTACCTCCCTCCTAGAAACACGTAAAAAACAATCCCACCATGTTCACTTGTGACCGCCAGATAAAGACAAGAGCGACATGGAAACATGACATCGCTTAAACCTAGTCTGACTGCTGCTGTTGACATTTTATGTTCAGTGATACCCTGCTAACCAAAGTTTCAGCAGCCAACGGAAAAGATATGGGCATACTTTTTAAAATATTAAAGTATTTAACTGTATCACTGTAAACATCCATTTAAATCTCCCCCTTTAAATTTCTGGCGGTAGCACTGCACAGCCACCTGAACAGCCCTACTTCAGTATCAATGCACTATCAAAGATTCCATTAATTATTTACCAAAAAGCAAAGTCATGTGCTGTATTTATGCTTTATTAATAGACATTTCCTAGTTTTCAAATCCAAGTACAGCGTGGACATGCAAGCTACTACCCACAGTCATAATGTCAATAAAAAGGCCTGCACAGGTCCTATTACAATGATCAGCATAAACAGAAACCATTTTAGTACTACACAACCTCACATCATGTGTTGAAATCTGCAAAAAGAGGAAGAAATCTGTCCACAACGATTAACAGAGCTGCAGATTATTTCAAAAGAAAGTTATACAATGTTGATAGTGTCATTTAATTATACCTTACTATTCCTAAAATAAGTTTACATTACTTAACTCAATGCTACACAAGTTATTATTAAACCAAGTGACTATTTTTATAACATGTAATTCCAACTCTTGAGCAGTGTAGCTGCATTATACATTACACAACTACACTCAGTCAGCTCAGATAACATTCAGCCTAGTACAGTCAAAGATGAAATGATAAGGAATCAATGATGTTCCTATCTGATCAGATCTTTCTGCCTTGAAAAACTTACCACTAAAAATTACTTAACAGCTGTAGGCGTGGAATGTTACATGTTGATGAGAAGTGAAAGCTCACAGCAGGCCAGCACCTGGGAAAATGTCTGCTTTTCCCCTCTTAGGACACATAGTGTTCTACAGCAGTCAGTGTGCACAGTCTAGTTTTGTCAGTGTGTTTGAGCTTACTCATAATAGCTATGACTACAGCAACCTTTGCTTTGAATGTTATGAAGAACAAAGACTATTCTAAACATTTTTTGGTCATATTTCCAATCCAGAGAAAGTGACAAGCAATGGTGCAGCAAGCTGGGAATATGTGACCACACAGTTACACTGTGTGTCCAGACATATCCAGCCACAATGATAATTAGTGAATTCAGCTACTTTAAGGTGCATCCTTTTCTAGAGACTAGGGGGCTATAAATCCTTGCAGCACTGAGCTGCGGAGCAGTGAAACCGCGATCTCTGCAGTGAAGGAGTTTCATCCAATACCTCTGGGATGAGCTGGAGTGGTGTTTGTGATCCAGAACTAATTAACCAACACAAGTACCCGAACTCACTAATGCTTTTGCGGCTGATCGCAATCAAATCCTCACAGTATTGCTCCAACAAGATGAATTCTCAGCAGCAGTTCAATGATGTGAATGATTAGGCTTTTACGCCTCCATAAATCCACACAGCAAACTTATAAAGAGCTCTATTCTATGCACACGCATAGGAGTGAAACTGAATGCATTTCACTTTTGTGAATTACAGGCATTGTGCTGTCTCTAGCAATTATGGCCCACCAGTGATCTGAGCCATGACTTCTGAACAGGCTGAACGAAAAGCTGAACAAGACCACTGATGGCAGAAAGAGATCTAAAATGCCATTCTAAAAAAAGCATGGCTTACTTAACTTTATGAGCCTTGTGAGAAAAAGGCATACAAATAAATTCAGAAACGGTGGTCCCGTGGGTGAAGCAGTATGACACTGGCCAGACAGAGACAGAATGGAGTCAAACACACCTATAACATCTGCTCCTAACAACACCCAGAGTTCACCTGCACTGCACCAACGGGAGGGAGGGGGAGAGGGAGAGGGAGAGGGAGAGGGAGAGGGAGAGAGAGAGAGAGAGAGAGAGAGAGAGAGAGACTTCTTTGCATGGTTTATGCTACTGCTGGAAGCATTCTCATTACTGTTATGACAGCCACAACAAAACTGCCATCCTTATAATGGATGTGTAATACATCAGCTGTTGTAACCCTCAGAAGAAAGATCTGAGTCAATAAAGGTCCTTATCTTTGGCTCACAAAGACAAACCTATAAAGAGCAGGCCAGGCATTCAAATAGACAGTCCACAGAGCCATAGAGTCCACAGAAGGCATTTTTCAGTTGAGTGTATTGACGAGGCCAAATATCTTGCATCGTTGGGCCCTTTGTTTATGGAACGCTCCTTCTCACAAGGTGCACTGCTGAAACAAGCGCTTTATTTGTAACCTTTAAGCATGATCAGCCAATAGCCGATACCGATCGAAGGTGGGGGGGCTGGATGCCACATTAAAAGGTGCAGAAGCAATTCTCAACAGCAAAGAAGTACACCCCTCCCTTCAGTGCTCTTTCAGAACCCCCAAATTCATGGACAAGCATTGCCAAGGCAAACAACACATGTTTATAAGTTTTTGCCTTAAAAAAACCCTTCACGAGTGTTGTAGGGACAAATGCCATGATATAACGTTAGAGTGAACAACAACACAGCAAGTAACGTAAAATTACGTGAACTCTGTTGTTGGTTAGCAAACTGTCTATAATTACTATAATTATAAAACTATAATTGCTACTGCGAAGCTAACTACAAACCACAAATGGGACAACAAAATACTGACCTACTGATTCTGTGAAACAGCAAAAATAAGTTAATGTTTCCCACCTCTCAAGCAGAAACAGAGCAACCTCCTCATCCCTTTTCATGCCTTTCAGCTCTTGAACCTGAAGTCAGCTTCTTTTTCGCCAGCTTCTTGTTTGAATTTTTCTGTTCCATCTTAAATAGTGCATCAGTAACCATTAAAATAACCAGAGCCTAAGCAACCAGTGCAGCTAACCAGACAAAACAATCCTTCTGCTTAACAGATGGGTTTTTAAATGTACTGAAAAGCCTAAAATGGCTGACATACATTGCTTTTGTAGTTCTGTATCTTATTTTTATTTTCAGTTCCTGCCAAGGCCTTAGGTCATGAAGCTAAGTCAGTGTGAGCTAAGCTAAGATTAGCGCTCGGATGCTAACGTGCTAACAGAAAAAAAATTCTCAAAGGTTTCACAACAAACCACGTTAAATACAGCTTTACACGTTCACACAGCAAGTTTACAGTGCAAAAGGAGCCAAATATTTATTACACTTCATGAAAAATGTTTTTCACTTGTGAAATAGATATGATGAGGCTGAAGTTGGCTTCCTATTCGCCAGTTTCCCATTTCACCTTAAATGGTGCAGCACGGTTACATTCTGGCACCTCATGAGAAATATGCCTCTCAGGATTGGCTAAGTTAGAGAAATACTGGCCGATTACCGACCACATATGTGGGCTGAAAATCATCCGATACCGATACATAGCTGACTGATCCTTCCATCCCTAATTTACATTGAACATTCAGAATAAAGTCTTTCACACAATGTAAAAATGCAGCTAGCATCTTTAAATGATTTAAGAAAAATGAAAAACAATTAAAATGGAGACAAAAGGTTTTAACCAATGCACCTTAAACATTTAGGCATACATAGGAGTTTAGACATCTTAGCTCATTTTCAACCATAGTCCTTGGAAAGGTACCAAAGTCATCAGTACTTCACCATGACACATAAAACTACATAACATTCAGATAAGTGATTCATTCAGCTTCTTTAGCTGCTTCAGAAATAAGGTGGAAATCTTCCACTTTCAATGATTCTCTCTCATCTCCCTATCCATCCTTTTTTAATTTAACATTGGAGAAAAAAAACGTGATGTGACACAAAAACACCAGAACACTAAAAATTTGTTTACCGATTTCTGGAAGTTCCTGTTGATAAAAGGCCACCCAGAGAGGGAAAAGTCATTTTCTATGGGTTCAAGCATGTAGTGCTGGAACTCTTGTTTTTATTAAGATTTTCTTCTTGTTCCCTTATGCTTTTTCTCTAACTCCTGATATCACAAGTGCTGGTAAAAATGGGATTAGCAAAATCAGTGTTTTATTAGCTGGAGACAGTAAGCACTTTCAGTTCAGCGTGGGACACACCCACCCGCCTGTCGCATTACAAATTATGCGGCGACCGTTTCTCATGATCCAGCTCTGCATGTGATCAGACGTGAAAGACTGGTCTATCCTCTCTGGGTAGCGTTGGTACTGAAGCTGAAGAGTGCACGCTGCCCCTCAAAACCCTGACCAGGGATACACCTACTTTGCCACTGATAGGCCACAGACAAGAAACCACCCAGCAGTCACTAAACCTGCACAGTCAGCTGATGCTGAGGGCTATCAAAAGCCCCAGGCCATCAAACCTTATTCTCTGCACACATTGCTCGTCTGTTGTTTTGCTATCCGGTGTCGACCAGAGGAGGATGGGTTCTTCCTCTTGCTCTTAGGGAGTTTTTCCTTGCCGCTGTTGCCATTGGCTGGTTCACTGGGGGCTTGGACCTGGATTTTTCTGTAAAGCTGCTTTTTTCACAACGCCTGTTGTAAAAAGCACTAAATAAATAAACTTTGACTTGACTTGACGTTGACATTTCTTCTACAGCAAGTGAGACTGGTTGCACCACTGTCGAAGGTCAGCATTGTTTGCCAAGTCATAATACATTTAATAGGGAGAAATGTGATGCTGCTTCAAGTATAGCTGGGTTCCCATCTTAAGCCGTGCTGCAATGCATAGCTAAAGGTGATTATAAATAAGTGATGAGCTTAATCAGGTGTGTCAGAACAGGAAAAAGACTGAACTGTGCAGTATTACAATCCTGAAGTAAACAGCAACTACATCAGCTGGTTCCAGAAGAGTTAGTTACTGATGCAGTGTTGACGCAGTATTGAAAGATGGCTTAATTGGTATATAGAACCATACACACCACATTCTCCATCAATCTGAAGAACCATTTCACCAAGCACAGAACCATTTAAACATGAAATGGTTCTATATAAAACTCATGGTTCTAAACAGAACCATTTCCTTTACTAAAGAACCCTTAAAGAACCACCTTTTTTCAAGTGTGCTGCCTAAAACTCAGCTACTTCAGCTAGCTACCTATGTGTCTGACAAGGTTACTCCAACATATTAAACTGAATGCTCCCTTTAAGTGGAATGTCTTTTAGCTTCGTAGCTCATTTATTAATAGGTAACTTGTATCATACGATGTTCAATATGTATTTTCTGAGTGTCTGTAATCCAGTTTCTGCCTGTCACAGCGGTGCTGGCTAGTCATGCTCGTCATGCTGACAGTTAGCATAGTAAATCATGGCCACTAGCAGCTAGCTAGCTAACTAGCCAGCCGGCTAAAGCTAAGTTAGCGAACGCTAAGTAACGTGAAGTTAAAACGAAAGTAGCTCGAATGCTCGAGAGCTACACCGATATCATCATGTCGTTTATGCATCAGGATATCTATAATGTGTCATAACATCAGTGGACTTTTATAAAGTATAAAGCCGAGGGATTAACGGAATCTGAAGTGTTTATCTGTTTGTATTTGGTGTGTATATGCATATCCACTGATATATGTGCATTCACGATACATAATGAACAAAAATATAAGCCAGCATTATATGTAACAGATCAAGTTGTTCTGCGTGTTTATCATCACCGCTATTACCACTAGCTAACTAGATCTTGTATCTCGTATCACTAAACGCTTTGGCAATGTTGCGTGTAAAGTAATGTTAAAGTATTCATAGCAGTAAAAGCCAACTGTGCTGAACGAACTAAATCACTGTAGTAATCACTAGCTGGCTGAATCTGATCAAGATGTCAACATATCACACACTAGCCTCCACCGTGAGCAGCGGTCTGGAATGCAATGCGATTAGCTATCTGGCTGCGAGGCTAACAACACAGAGAGACAGAGAGAGAGAGAGAGGACCAATACCAAACATTCCTGCTGGCTGTGGATGACAGGACGAGAAGAATCTTTTAATCTTTTCGATGTGATCGCAAATATTTAATGGCATTCATAGATAAGGATAATACGGCTAAGTGAAGGGCTGGATGGAGAGAGAGAGAGAGATAAACCACTCGTTAAAATTCCACGCCATCGTAGCTTCCTAGCACATCTGCACCGCCGCTGAAAGACAATGAGCGCTCACCTTCTCTTTCAGATTATCCTCGCTGTCTTTTGGAGGGGACGGGGACTAACAGAGCCTCTCTAATGCGGCCTCTGTGACAAAACCATTATGCACAGCGCAGCCATATTCTCGAAGCTGATTTAAAGGAGAACGTATTTATTCTGGGTCGAGCCGTTTCGCCTCTATCGCCGGCCCTTGTTATCAGCCCGGAAAGCGTTGTCAAGACAGAGGCCGTTTCCCTGGAATCTGATTGGCTGTCTGAAGGTGGCGCGTGCTGGATGCTGCCGTGACGACATCAAGGTTACTTACGGTCATCTGCGTGGCGGTCAGAACCACGGCCAGTTATGTGTCCTCCAGTCACCCTTAAATGTTTTCAGACCTTTTAACGCGTGGCGTGCCTGAATGAAATGCGGAGTGCAGCGTGTTTCATTGCATTTGGTGTCACTGTATGTAATGTTACAGCAACTCGTTTCCCCCTTTAATGCAGCGTTCGGTTTTACGTCGCTATCACTGGGCTAACCAGCCAGCTGGATTAGTCTGCTATGAAGTGATTCTTATATCTACTTAATAGTGTAGAAAGTGAATACATAAAAAATTGTCTGATTACTCAGCATAGCTGGTCTTCAAGTCAATGAACATAAGCCGGTCAAGTATGGAAAAACGTAGAGCAGATCCTTTATGCAGGACATAAATCCACCTTCTCCCACAGCGCCGCTGGTGTAGTGGTATCATGCAAGATTCCCATTCTTGCGACCCGGGTTCGATTCCCGGGCGGCGCACGGCTTTTTTGTGTTCTTCGTTAAACCGATATGTGTTGAACATTTTTACAGATTACATTATAACAAATGTCAAGCGTGTAGTTTGTGCTGCTTCCCCTGATAAATCGGTAAAAGAAGACAGGAGCGCTGATTCTGACGGTATTCACAGTGGCTCTGTGACGCTGGAGTACAGCTGGGCAATATGACAGTCACTTATCATTCTCATGACAGATTACGTCACAATATCCTTTTTTTAAGCATATCACGGATATAATCAGTATATCCATGCAGATACATCATAGTTTTTGACATATTATTTTTAAAACTTTGTCTGTTCTGGCGTATTAAATGTAAAAAAAAAATTGTGACAGATCAGGTATCGTAAAAACTTCCTGAAGTATCATGAATTTACATTTTTCCCATATTGCCCACCTCTACGCTGGAGGTGTGGGTATGCGACACTGATTGGAGCATGTGTAAGAACACGTCTACATGTGGGGATTACACAGTCAAGGAGGAATGTGCATCACCTGTCGCCAACTACGTAAGCAAATATGTAGATTATGTAGTGATCACTTAAACTAGCACTACAGAACCCAGGTCTTGGCTACATGATGAGCTCAAAACCTGTGATGTTGCATTCAGAGTAGGTGAAAGAGAAGAGTTCTGGGCAGCTTGGACCAACCTCACCAGTGGCATCTTATGCACCTCTCATGCATTAAAAATTCTGGAATATTTCACGAACAATGATCCACTGGGTATGTGGCAGGGCATTTAGAACATTTTGTCTGCACCAGTGACAACTCCCAGATGCGCTGACCATCTTCTATGGCTGTTTTGAAGCATCCAACAGTGAAACAGCAATTAAGGTCACACCTCCCCCTGGTGACCAGCTGCTATTGGCTGATGTAACTGCAGCTGATGTGAGAGAACCCACGCAAAGTTGCCAGCCCTGACAACATACTGGAGCTCAAAGAGTGCGCCCACAAGCTAAAAATCTCACTTGAACAGGCCACTGTCAATTCAGCAACGATTATCTCAGTGCCGGAGAAGTCATAATCCTCAGTTGTGGATTAAGGATTCCTTGCTCTCTTGCGTTCACTTTAGAAACTCTGTTCTGTCTTCACTGGAGATCCAGTACAAGCACAGGCCAAACCTCTCCACTGAAGATGTAATGACCTTTCCTATCCACTTGGACAACAAAGACACATGTCAGACTGCTGTTTATTGACTTTAGCTCAGCGTTCAGCACCAGCATACCCCGCAGACCAGTCAGCAAACTCCTTTTACTTAGACTGAGCTTTTTACTCTGCAGCTGGTTCTAGACTTGCTGAGAAGCAGGCCTTAAGCAGTCAAGGTCCAGAACAGGTCCTCCCGCTCCACTACTCTAAAGTCTGAGGCCTCTGCTGTACAACTTTCTCACCTATGACTGCATTAGTAAACATTTTATCAAACATATTATCAATTTTGTTGACTATTGACGATACAACAGTTGTGGGACTCATCAACAACAATAAGACAGCTCACAGAATGAAGGTGAGCCAGCTGGTGCATGGGCAATAATGTCAGCAGAGAAAAAAAGATCGTTATTAACTTCAGGAGAACCTGTGTGGCTCACACACCTCTGTAAACTAACTAAACACATCAATGTGTCTAGTTAAGGACACAGTGTGTTGGTTTTGAAACATCTTTAAGAGTGCATCACTCCATTTGCAGACACTAGCTAGTAATCACATAGTGCTACTGATACACAAGAAGTTGGTGAAATTAGGTACAAAGTGCTGCTGTTCAATCATGCCAGTTACTCTTTTTTGTATTAACCTCTTAAAGGGCCAGGGCCCAGTGTGGCCCAGAGTTTTATTACACACTGCTAAGAATGGCTCAACCTGTTTGCACTGAAGTCCCTGTAGTTACAGAATAATAAGCCTTAGTGTGTAATAAGCCTGGGATTTTAAGGGGTTAACTCAGTGTGCTTGCACTTTACCTTACTGTATGGTTTCACTTTGATGTCATGTTGTCATATTGAAAGGATGAGGCGAAGAATGAGGCAAAAGACGCCGTAGTGAAGTTCTTTATTTGGAAAAATATACATCACACAGGTATTTTTGAACTGTGGTGCCACAGCAGCTAAACAGTGTCCTCATATGCAGACCAGCAGAAAACAACCACCACGGTATCTTAATTGTGAGAGATTAGAAAAAAATATATATTCTCTGCCCTTTTACCTAACAATTACCTGGAATTTGACTTTATTATTTGTCATATTTTAGAACAGTGGTTCCCAGTCCTAGTCCTGGTGACCCCATGGTTTGCACATTTTTGCTTCCGTCCTTTAATAACAGCTCATGAAGGGCTTGATAATTAGCTTGTGAGTCAAATTAAATGGGTCAGATAAGGAGAAACACAAAATATGCAGAACCAGTGATTAACAGTGTGAAGCACTGAATCTCTCCAGCTGTTACCTTCTTAATGTACTGTCAGATGGGTCCCTCTGGGTGGCGCACTACACCATTTTACTCAAGTTGAAGTAGGGAAGTGAGGAACCGAGAACACCTCAGCACCATTTGTTTTATTGATCCACATCCCCCGAGAGAGAAAAAGAGAAAGAGAAGTGAAAAAGAGCACAAAAGATGAAAGGAAGTGAGAAAATGAGCAGGAGAGACAAATATCTTTTTCCTCTTTAATGCACAGTGCTGCTTTTAACTCCCCAAAACTGCACCAAGAAGAAGCAGCAGAAACAGGGACAGTAAACGCTGAGAATAGCCTGCCAACCAAAAATACCCAGCCAACAGCATCAGAAACTGTCAGACCACTGATGCAGGACTAGAGGATGCAATTTATGCAGCAACAGATGAGCCACATAGATGTTTCTAACTTTACATTTAGTTCTACAAGGTGGACCAACAAGCTAGGTGTGTCTAATAGAGAAGATGATACATGTGGGCCTATGCAGTGTTTAAAACCTCTAGAAACATGGCTGTGTCTGATCCATTCATACCAGTGAAACACCTGCTAACATGCCACTAACATGGCACTGCAGGGGGTCTTGTGGGGGTCCTGATCATTAACAAACCGGGCAAAAAAAGGTTAACACGTTGATAAGACTACAATCTGTAATTGTAGGATAAAATCAGACAGTGGTATGCTATAGTTCGGGTACCCCTTGTAAAATTATATGTTTTTGTTGATTTTCTAAATGAGAATAAGTTAACACATCCGTGCAAAATAGAGTGGGTCCCGGGACACCCTAATTAACCTCTTGGACTCCTAAATGTCTCGTAATCAAATTTCTTGAAAATAAGTACATTATGAAGTTATGCTGTTCATTAGGGACACTCAAACACCAATTCATTCAAAAGTCATTGATTAGCTTCTTCACCCACAATCAGCGAGCTTCTTAACTAACTAGTGATGTAGCACTGGTCTGCCTCAGGGTGGCGTTGTAATAGACTGGTTCACCCAGTTGTTCCTCAATAGCCTAGTAGCGCTAACTATTCCCAGGATACCTCTTTACAATTCTTTACAATATGCTGTAACGTATTTGTAAATCTGAAATTTTGCCCAGTTTCACAAGAGACTGGCGGAAAAAGTGAATTGTTGCTTATTTCTCAGACCCATGACAAAACAGGAGATTGTACAATCTCAATTAATGTGTTGAAGGCCACATTATCAAGCTAGAAAAGAATGTTTCCAACATTTCCAAGGAGAAGAATTGTTAAACCAAACATTTTGTTGCCACTGAAGCTAGCGTCAGTACCGCTATGGTGAGTGAATTAGCAACCAGCCAACACTGCAGAGAACACACTTTCGCACATTTTAATGCACAGTTACTGTTGATTTTCTGAATTTAATATATTGGGGGAAAAACATAAAATGTGGCATGTGCAAACGTTATGTTTTGTTTAGTTTCTAACTTGTTAAACTCCACAAATTAAAAGGAATTGTGTGCTAAAATTTGTAGAAAATGCCATTTGTAAGTTTTTAAGTTTTACCTATTTTATCTTTTCTTTCAGAGAATCAACAAAACTTTTGCATTCAATGTTATAAGTTATAATATGTAAGTTTTCTGTGGTTTAACAAGGAGGAGCAAGTAAAATGCACCAGCAAATGAGTACAATGTTTTTTTATTCAGTGTTTGTACAAATAAATTATATAAGAAGGAACAGAAGGAAAAGTCAAACAATTTGTAAAAATAATTGATATGATGATGTTGTAGAATATCCAATCCACTACCTGTTACTCTGCAGTTTATGCGGGTTGTTGTTGTTTACAGGCTCTCTATAATTGGTAAATCTGTCTTTTTTTATCTGTCATACATGTACTTTAATAAGTACTGACAATAACCATATGTTTAGAAAAGCGTGCGAGGTATTTGGATGTAATTTATCATGCACACATATTGTCAAACTGCCCACCCCTGTGAAAAAAACTTTGCTTTTTGCTCCTCACGTT